TATGAAGATCGAATACTTGCTCCAGTGGGCGACTGCCATCACCTGAAAATCTGCGCCTAACCTCAGCATTGCTCGTCCGGCTGCCCCACCAGATTCATGCAATGCTGCGTGGACAGCGGTGTTCGAACACCGACAGTCTATCTTTATCCTGTTTTCTTAATAGCCACATTCGACCCTTCACAGACAATCGGATGTCACGACGGCGCCACAGNAAATGCCAATCGAGTCTTCTGTATGCGAGCAGACACATCATCCGTGATGCATCCACCGGGTGAGATGTAGCTGCCCAAGTAACAAAACTTATTTACTCGCTCTATTACCTCCCCAGTTAGGATGAGGCTGGGTGCTAGACCAATCCAGTCTTGAAGTAGCATTTTACACTTTGAAGGTGCAAAACGCATACCGAACCTGGTTACACTAGCACTCAAATAATCTAGAAAGGCTTGCAACTTACCAGGATCTTCAATTAGTAGCACAATGTCCTCTGTATACTGCAGATCAGACAGTCTGCCACCTGGGTGTAAATCGATGCCACTATCCTCGCACGAGGATAGGGCTGTTTCCATAATCAAATCTATAACAAAGGTGAATAGGAACGGAGAGAGAAGGCAACCCTGTCGAACACCACTTTCCGTGGTGAACTCGGGTGAAAACGTGCCGTAAGCTCGGACTCGACTTCGGCTATTAGTATAAAAGGATTGTAAGATTGAACATAACTTCTCAGGCATATCTTTCAGCGAAAGGCAGTGCCAGAGTTCAGTGCAGTCAACTGAGTCGAAAGCCGCTTTCAAGCCGAGGAAAACAGAGATGATTGGTCTACGAAAGGAATGTCGGTGCTCCGGAGTTTGATGAAGAGTGAAGATGTGGTCGATTCAACCTCAACCAGGTCTAAAGCCAGTCTGGTTCTCACGCGTGCACCGTTCACGTGCGGCAGGCATTCGACGAAGTATAATACTAGTGAGAAGTTTAGAGACGATATTGATTAAACTAATTCCTCTGTGGTTTTCACAATATGACCTGTCCCGTTTCTCGTAAATCAGTACGATCACCGATTTACACTATTCAGCTGGAACCTCTCTCCTTTCCCATATTGAGCCCAGGAGTTTCGTCAACTCCGAGACTAACGCTGAGCCTCCATCCTTAAATGCCGATGGAAACAGCCTATCTGGGCCGGAGGCCTTCTACCTTTTTAGATAACTTATTTCCCGAGAAACCTCCATTTCAGATGGAGGACTGATATCAACTGAGAGTATTTGCCCAGCCGTAGTGGAAGGTGATAGTTCAGATGTCGATGGGGGCCAGTTGAACTGAGCCTTGAAATGTTTAGCCCAACGGTCAAGACGGCGTTGCTGATCGTGAATCAGTGTGCCATCGGATTCCCTAATTACCTCACTTAAGCCTATTTTCCCAGGGCCCGTAGTCCCAAATAGACGGAAAAGATTGCGACCATAACCAATAGGCGCAGCTTTCTCCATTTCTTTACACTTTCCTATCCACCACTTCTCGCGGTCATTCCTCTGACTCCCGATAAGCTGGTGTTTGAGGGATTTGCGCGCCGTGTTATATGTGGCATCGAGAGGGAGGGTTCTGTGGGCGTCAGCGTCTGCGCAGAGTTGATGTAGGCGATCTCCGTTGTCCGTCCGGTTGGCTGGGACTGCATACGGTCCGCTAAGAAGCCTTTCCCATTCGTCCAGGGATCCCATTTGAGCATTGGAGTCCCCAGCGACTCCCACGAGGTCTGTTGACCGAGGACTTTGGAGCAGTTGGGAGAGATTCTTGTAGAATTCGTCCTTGATTTCAGGTGTACTGCAATCGGTCGGTGCATACACCGATACGACGAATAAGCACCAATGCTTCGTTCTGTAGCTGTTGACCCGTACTGAGCCGTTGAGACGTACAGCGCACAGTCGGCTACTGACTAGAATCCAGTCAAGATGCGAGCGCAATCCCAACACCAGCAACACCGCGAGCTTCGGATACCGAATCGCCTGACACACGGAGGGTGAAGCATGATGTCGAGGTTGAGTTAGGAGAACGCAGTGAAATGATTGAAGTTGGGACTTGTGCACGTGTTTCGGAGACACAGCATACATCTAAATTGAAAGTTTTAAGGGTTCTAGTCAAAGCAGCTTGCTGATCAATCTAATAGTGTGCGGACATTGAACGCGGCTAAGTGGAAAGGAAATTTTGGCTTCACAAATCCCGTAACTTCTGATTTTTTGGCCTTGTTGGTAAAACGCTGAGTGACATTCGACGGGAGGCGTAAACAGGCGTCTGGGGTTATTCGGGATTGAGAGGAACAACTAGATAGATCGGAAAGAGGCTTTCCCAAATGGGTGCCTAAGCCTTTAGGGCACTGTATAGTTCGCGGTTGCTCCAGATAAGCAGATGGATCAATAGTTTGATCCATTCGAACTCTCTTTGGTAAGTCTTAACGAGTAGATGGGAGGGAAGAAGGGGTGATGGCCACATTCATCACATACCAGCATTGCTATCGGACTTGCTACACTTTATAGGTATAAAGTAAAGAAAAACACCAAATCCTCCAGTACTGCCGCTGCTTGTCTACGACCGCTAGTTCAGTGAGCAAAGGCCCAACTTATTCACGACATTAGCCACCGATTTCGTGAACGGTTCGCTATTCACGTCCTGGGGACAAACTAAGTAGCACGCAGCCCGCCCCAATAGTCTGGTCGAAAAAGTATAGTACCGCGCGATATCTAACGATGATTTGTCAGTATCTCGCTTCTTATATTACCTTATTCATACCTATAAGACGTACAGTAATTAGCTAGTTGATGAAGCTGGTTTTCTAAGGCTTGCATTAACGTGACTGCCCAAGCAAGAATAATACCAAAATAGTCATCTGAATTCCGTAGAAAAATTTCAATATATTAAAAGCTGGAGAAGGGACAGAGCGCAAACAACTATAAAGCTGCCTGTCTTAAGTGAGTTTAAGCGATCACAGAAGAGGGATCCAAATTACAGACTGGCTATTTACTTCCCAGTAATATCCCATAAGCCATTTCGTCGTTCTCAACACACCAAGTAGGCATAGCAAAGCGGTATGGCTAATGTGTGACCCGATTATCTCTCTTTGGCAGTTTCTATACCACGTGCATAAAGATGCACCGGAACCGCATAGCAGGCACGGAATGAAGATCGCAGCAATTTATATGCGTTTGGAGATGTATATCGCGGGCGAGTAGTGGTAGGTTTGTTTGTTTGTGTGTGTGTGAGAGAGAGAGAGAGAGGGAAACAAGGACATAGGCGCGGTGGGCATGTTGGAAGAGAGAACAATGAGGAATGTGTCGCGGTGTGTGTAAGCGCGCACATGTATACTGGCGTAGATTATACATATGGGTAATTCAAAAATATTTCCACACAAACAGACAAATAAATAAGATCGATTAAGAGCTCGTGCATGCATGATACATGACATTCCATGCCGTTGATCACCTCATTTTTCACACGGAGGATAGGTCATTTGAAGGGGACGGCTATAAAACAAATACGTGCTGTTTACACTGTTTATTTTAGTGAGATGAAGACTGAAGATGTCATCAACACGTGATAACTGCTCAATTATTCACAGCAAGATCCTATTAGTCAACTGTCTAATTCCCCTGTTGTGGGCAAGTATTTCAACACCTTGGAAAGCCTTCAATAACTGATCCATAGCAATGATAATAAATGAATAATGATTCTTTGATAAGCTTTTTCCAGTATTTTATACGGAGTTTTTGCATGAGTAAGTAATAATTCACAGGTAAAATACCTTACACCGACCTGGAAAGGAATAGTCGTTCGTGAACGGTCGTTTATTGGAAAACCAGAAAAAATTTTAACGTAGCAAGCAAATAAATCAAATATACGAGCACAAACAGACTGGGGATGGAAGCGATTGAAGTACTGCTTGTGCGCACAGCCACCCACCCACCCACACACACACACACACAGACTAATCGCACTCGGACACTCACTCGAAGCGGCTGCTCGTGCAGGTATGGCGGTTCGCCGTCGATCATTTCAATCACCATAATGCCCAACGACCAGATGTCGATTTTCTGACCATATTGGACAGTTTTGTTCACCACTTCCGGGGCCATCCAGTACGGTGTGCCGACCATTGTGTCTCGTTTACTTTGTCGATTACCAAGCTGTGCGCAGAAACCGAAATCGGTCACTTTCACTTGACCCTTTCGTCCCAACAAGACGTTGTCGGATTTGATATCACTGTGGATGCACACACACGCACACGCAAGTGAAGTGAAGAGTGAACAAAGGCAAAGAAAAACAGATACTGATGTGAGTCGACCCATTGACGCACATTCAAATGTAATAAGCTCACAGGAATAGGAATATATGAAAAGCACAAAGTGTAAGTATATGAATCAAGTCAAGTCAAGTTAAGTATTCGCTTTATGACGCAACATGTTGAAAATGTGATGCGATACTACAGACATGACTACATAGCTCATCGCTATCTATTATACGCATGATCTTTGACGAACCGAAGGGGGATGAAACCATAATTTACGTCAACGACATTTGTGCTCGAACCGCAAAGCACACACACACACACACACACTACGGCTCAAAGACCATAATGGCTTGAGCGGAAATGCAGTACAAGGTGATTCGATCACACAGTACAATATGTGATTTCGATGTACAAAAGCAGGTTAGCACATTACGGCAAGGGCTCGGTCTATCCTCATCACATAATAAGTCTCTCCACACTTACCGGACTATAATGCGGAGAAAACGAAAACGGCTGTCGTGGACATAAAAAGGGTGGGCTAAAACAATTAACAGACAGCCTGTGATTTCGCACAGCAGCAGCAAGGTGGATCACGACCATAAGGAAGTTGCACTGACAAGAAGTAAATCCGCTCGCTTGCACACTGCTGAAAGAATTGAAGGCAACACGCTGAGCCCGACAGACGGACACTAGTTAAATTTCCATTCTCGCTGAATCGTCACATAGTTCACCACAAAGGAATACCGGTCAAGAACGATGCACTTTCCAGTCAAAGCACTGAGGCCCACTTTAGGGTAATAAACTCGCTTAGATGGGATAAATGCTAGACAAACTTTGGAAGCATAAACTGCACTTACCACAATGTCCATTAGCGGCTAGCCTAACCTCGAGGTAATTAATCAATACCCTTGAATTTATCAGGCCTCCTAATTTGGAGTATGACGGTGACGACAGGTAAACAGTTGCGCAAATTGCGTAGGGCAAAACACTTCGCTTAAGACCCCAGCCCCAACAAGAGTATCCGTACAATGCATGCCCCCGACTAAGACTGACAAAGTGGTGGATCAACAAACCGCCCACAATACAGTCAGAAGCGACTGGGTACGGGCAGTAGTTACTTTGGGTGGAATAATAGTTCAAATTCACGAAAATCGTGAGCTGTACGCGTGGTTTCATACGTGATGGAATTCAGAAACAAAAGATTGCTAAATGTACTGAACACCATGAAATAGTCAGTTACGGAAAGGTGTTTATTTGCATAAAACTTCCTAAATATAGCAAAGTTATTTGTCCCAGTGATGGGCGCCAGTCAGCCGGATGGAGTTCGGTGGCAGAGTATCTGTTTATTCGTTTACTGACCACTGTTCAATAGGGTATAACTTAGAGATTAATATTATCGCTTTTTAAATCTTGGCCATAGATGTGTCATCTCCATCATTTGCATACTTCCTTCTAAGCTAAATAAATACCATAAACGTACAAAAACTTGTTCGCTTTCTTGAAGAGTTACTGTGAAGAAGATCAAAGTACAGAGCGGATTTTACGATTGCCAGTAACGATGCGGACTCAGCCTGGTGCAATATCAAAGATGGATGATCACAAGAACAGTTGTCCAGTAACGAATCTGCATTTCCACGCACAATCACCGTCGTGCGCTTGGATTATCTGGTGGGTGTTTCAATCAACGAAAAATACGGGTACAGCTTCCCTTTGACTACAATGACTTAGACAGGACATCTCATAACAAATGCCGGGAACTTTCCGCCTTCTAAAGTGTGAATTGCAAACTTACTGAGACGCATGGGGTCTTTTACACGTACTACTACTGCGGGAAAAGCTGTTTCGAGTTGGAAAATCGTAGGAGTGAAACTGCTTTACTAGAGGAAAACTTCAATATTACCACGGTGATTTGATACGAGCTCTTACTCGGTACGTGTGGACATCTGCCATACTCGGAGAGGATGATTTGCACTTATAAACGACCTACCACATGTCCTTGAGCCTAATACACTGCTATTTGCAGATGACGCTAAAATCTGGAGAGCTGTAACACATTTAGAGGATAATATAGCACTCCAATAAACGATCAACGCAGCCGATGAAATCAAATTCAACGTTTCCAAATGCAAAGCTATTTACATGAGGCACAAGACTCGTTTCTCCCATGTTCTGAGGAACCAAATACTACCGCATGCCACTGATGAAAGGGATTCGGGAGTTATGGTACAGGAGGACCTAGGATGTTCCACGCACTGTGCTAGAGCATCATCCATGATTCTGAATCAAGCTGGACTACTGAAACGTGCTTTCCGGCTGTTCGAAAAAGCCTACTATCAGCGTACATTCAGACACACATGGAGTACGCCGTATGGAATGCGTGATTGAACCGCTACAAGGCTTTAGAACGTCATCAAAGGTTGGCAACAAAGTTGGCAAAAGGTCTGTGTAACGAAACATACTCCGATATTGGAGCTTTACTCATCTCAATACCGTCGACTTCAGAGGGACCTAATCTTGAAATACCATATACTGCATCAACCCAACCACTCTTGCCTTTCTGGGCTGACTTTACCTCAAAATGATCATTTCAGGGGACATCCACTGAAGTTGAAGACAGCTACATTGGTTGCCGGTATCACTCGTTTGCAGTCAGTGTACGGCGTGTGGAATTCTCTTTCATCTCATGTAGTATGTGCACCTACAATTGAACTATTGAAATTGCAACTTCATAAAGCCATGGAACACTTAACATTCGGACATCTGTGAATGATCATGTATATTATTTTTATTTTCTCTTTGTAAAGTTATCCAACGCACATTTTACACATTTTACACATTTTAGTATCTACGGTTTAGCTACATATTCTTCCCTCAGGAGGTAAATGATTCATCGATATCAATTAACACTGTTAAGACCTCGTGTTACTTTCACATTCTGTGGTGCTGTGGTGTTGTGTCTAATCTAAAGCGTCAGAAGCAATCAGACCGCATTAAAGATATCCGACGCTAGTTAGCACAGAATATGCCATTGTTCATTGGACGACGATCATAGTGATGCCGATAAACGATGATGCGGTGTCAAACACGCCTCGCGTTCGGAGACGTAACTAACTACTTTCTGACATAATTCAGTGCTTTGAAGTTTGCAACAATATTGCATAGGTTAGGCGCACACACCTGGACTGTAGCGTACATGCTGCAAAAAGTCACGACTCGATTACAGAATTCCGACAATTTCTGTATTGCCTCGTGATATGATTATCAGACGTGGCATTACTAATACTCACTAACGCACCTAATGTGTGTGTGTGTGTAATACGAACGTCAGTCTGCGTAGCTGTGTGGCACAGACAATATCCTCCACTGCATTAATCGCACAAATCCACAAACCCATGCGCATGAGAGCACGCGCTTACACGCACGTACGCGTATGCGTATGTACACGTATATACAATGGCACATGGTGTTGTGGTGACAAAATGTGCAAGGGTGCAATGCTGCAACTCAAACGCGTGATCACTTATCGCCGGGCGTGCTAGTCACGTGTACACGTGTGTGTGTGTGTGGCAGACATCGTGTGGAATGTTACATTCAGCAGCAGCACATTTATCACTTTCCTATGCCAACGAAAAAGAAAAAGCAGCAGTGAGATGGTGTAACAGCATAGAACCAAATCGATATGTATACATCGGACTGTTCAACTGAAGTTCCATTAAAACAAAATTGAAGATAGAGTTTTGGTTTCATTCGGTGCTGTGGTGAATGACGTGGTGGTATGCCACGAGGAAATAAGTTTCGGTTCGCAGTTCCGCTAACCAGCTAGACTTAGATATTGTGCAAACAGGGGTATAAGGAGGGGCAAGAGGAAAGTCGTTTATTTGCTTACAGTGGCACTTATCGTGAAGGGTTAGGTTTTCATTTCCGATGCTCGGCTAGTCTCGAAGCATGACATAATGAGAGGTGACAGTTCCAGGGAGGAAATGTAGAAAGAATACCTGTGTCAACAGGTCAAAAGACTTCAGAAAATCAAGCCATAAATGAAAACAGACATTAACTTATACTGACAGTAGAAAAGTTTGAATTATACATTCACTTAATTCGGCACATGAAGGCTTTAAGGTTCTAACGGGCGTGGCGGAAAAGGAATCACGTGCCTCTCTAGGTGGTGCATCACTGAAGATTGTGGAAAAATCCATTGTCGGGTCTCAATGTACTGGACCATGCCAAACCTTTCAAATAGTGCAAGCGCTCCAATACATTTTGACTCAGTGGAAGCCTTCGCCGATTGTAGCACTTACACATATTTTGGCAGGCATTTAACGGGTGGCTCATTCTTCCTTTGCTAGATTTGGACTGTGGATCGATGAATATTCAGGTGTCGGGAGATTTTGCCTTCAGCGCATGGGCCTCGCCTAAACTAGCGGGGCCTTATGGCTCAGATTACCGATTTTCATGAATGGATAGCAGGTTCTCGTGACTGTGCGGTCTACACAAGTACGTGCAATTTTAAAACAGTTACAGCCTGTACCCTTGTCAATTCATGAAAAACCACAAGAGGCGTAAAACTGATAAAATTCTCTGATGAAAGTTGCCTACACCGTAGTTAAAAATGGTTGTTTTTTCGTCCATTACGATTAGGTAGAACCATACAAGTCAAACTGATATCAAAAATCATTTCGGTGAGGCATTAGCTTAGCATTATCATCGCCGTACGAGGGTTTTGTCTCCCTAAAATTGTCTTGGTATGGATGACATTGATTTAGAGAAGTGGATGAGATAAAGTGAACAAAGAAACTTTGTGGATCCAACAGGGGGTGAATTTTTAGCGCGGGTTCACACAAATTACAATCGAATGAATAAAACGCGAATATAACAATTTTTGGTTCGCTACGAAAGGGTAAATAATTGAAACAGCTCTGTTTTTTTATCTCACCGGAAGCACCAAAAATGTTTTTTTATTTCTCCTGGCTATGATTTCCTGTGTGATAAAAAATGTAGGTTCCGCGACTGAAAAACAATTGGGGAAGATGAAGAAATGCTTTCGACCGCCTTAGATGACAGTAACTATTCACCTAAACTAAATTTGGGGATAAAAACCCGTATGTGGTAGTAATATATTCGTTCCACTAATCACTGAAATTTTCAAGAAAAGTAAGCAACATTATACGGCAAGAAATAAAATACACAGCGCCCTGACATGTCACAACGATTTGTAAGCAACCGTCAACGAACGAATTATCCACAGCGATTGCAAGAGAAGTAGTTGCACCCGGACACACATCCATCGAGTCGAGAGACAAAGAAAAACAATCTTCATCGGAAAGAGAGAGACGTACCGGTGGATAATATTCTTATCGTGAAGAAACGCGAGCGCCTTAACACACTCCCGCGTGACCGCGGCAATGGTGGGCACATCCATGACAGTCTCTGTGACCACTTCCGTGAGAGCACCTCCATCCAGATATTCCATCACAACCCATAGCTCATTCTCCTTTCGGAGAAGATAGGATTCCAGATAATTGACAATACTTTCGTGACGCAACTCTCGCATCACATCAATTTCCGAAATAATCAAATCCCGATTAGGTTGTTTGTCCAGTTTCATGACCTTGATTGCAACCATTTGTCGATTCCGATTGTCCCGAGAGCGTTGAACCGTCCCGGACGCACTGAAATCGAACACAGGCATGAGGTAAAAAAATTAGTCAATTCATGTGCACGCATTTCTCTTCGGTGGTTGGAGAGAAAACATTATGGGTAAATGATGAATGTCGCGTTCATCTAAACAACTACCCTAATGATATGCCAACCAAGTCGACCAAAAGGACAGCCTGTGTAGTTCAGAAACCAATTCAGCTACCGTGAATGGATTAGGCGAGTTAAAATGAGATGAAAGAAAATGATTTTTTCACTACTCCACCTCCACCTGTGACAATTCTTTAATCCTCAAAAATGTTGCAGATGTCGTTTTTTGTTGTCCCATTCAAGTGCATGAAAATGCATGGTTCGTGGTTGTGAAAACTGAAACTAATTCAAGTGTACTTGTCTATCCTACTCTACAGCCTGGTTCATAATGCATCGCTGAGTGATCAGCTTATCATAAATAGCGTTTAAATATTTCGAAATGAGGTGATACTATGCCTCCGTGCATTACAACCCTTCACAGAGAATCGGATATCGCGACAATGCCAAAGATGCCTCAAGTTGGCAAACGCCAAACGAGTCTTCTGTATGAATGCCGAGACTTCAGCTGTGACGCGTTCGGCAGGTGAGATATAGCTACCCAGATAGCGAAACTTTTCGACTTCCTCTACTGATTTCCCAGTTAGAGTGAGGATGTGGGCTGGACCACTTTGAAGGTGAAAAACGCATACCGAACATAGTTAAACTTGGACTCAAACTATCCAGAAATACTTGCAACTTATCCTGGATCTTCACTTAGTAGCACAATGCCATCTGAATACTCCCCATCAGACAGTCTACCACCGGGGAGCACATCGATGCCACGATCCCCGCACGAGGATAGGGCTGTTTCAATAATTAAATCTATGACAAACAGAGCCGGAAAAGGAGGATAACCTTGACGAACACCAGCAGTGAACTTGGGCGAAAAAGCACCGTCAGCTTAAACTGCCTTCATTCACTAGATTCGTAATCGTCACATCCCAACTGCCAGATCATTGACTGTGCAATATCTGGATGCAGCATCTAAGTGACCGGAACACAACACTGCAAATTTCACAAGTCAAAAGGCTAGTATTGTATGGTTAAACGTTGCACAAAATGCCGAACGTCCTTCTGTTTTCTCAGGAACCCTTATGGAATCACACACGAATAAACAACCGCACCGTGTTGATCTACATTTAGTTTGTTTATGCAGCTTCCAACCAACCTGTTATTGTATTATTTATACATTTATCTATTTATAGATGACAGAGAAGGATAATGATGATGATGCTTAAATTGGGGAATGTTCAGCAGCCTAGATGAGATTCAAAACCAAGCATGGATGCTGCGTACGCTTTAGTGCAGCAAACACTTTACCAAATGAGATACGAGGCCGTACCAACAGCAGTTATCTTTCCATATTTGATTCCTCCACTCAAATTATAGAGGCATATAGAATCCACTAATAAAAAACTATTCAATTCATTAAAATGATGAAAGTTTGTATGCATTTTCACAAGCGATTGTAGGATAATGGTAATTGAAAACTGATTCCGAAAGATGGAACCAGCAAATGCAACTCGAGGACGGATGGAGAGAAATGTAACAAAAGAAAAGGCTATTTCCGCCAACTTACCCAGATCCGACTTTCTCGATCAGTGTATAGTTGGAATGTGGATCACCCGGAGTGATTACCTTTTCTGGGAATAGGAGGAAGGAAACCGAAATCGGTCAATGAGATCGGACTGAATTTCAGATTGGTACTTTTAATGAGATAGTTGACGAAAAGACTAACTGTCGTATTCAGTGAGCTCACAGCACCCAAGTCAACGTTATCTATCGACAGGTTCCTCAGAAAAATTTTTCTCCAAACGATAAAGGTGAGCAATTTGGCTTATGTGGCTTATTCATAAACTACGTGTTTTAAACCAGTGGCTTCCACGATAGCATGCATTTATCGGGTGAAAATTCCAGTTCCAGAATAGTTTTGCCAATCTGATTTCCATGAATGGATACAAAGCCAATCGTGACTGGGCAGTTTATACGGAAATTATATTGAGAAGACAAATAGCACGATCACAGAAGTCAAAAGGAAGAAATATTTCACCTGATATGTCAAATCAAATGAGGTGCACACAGACAACCGATGGGCTATTGTTCTGCACAATAAATCCTATTGTTTATTGTTCGGTTTTGAACAGTATAAAACTCACCCAGGGCAGCGAAGAATTCAGCATCACTCATCTTCTTCCGGACTTTGCGACGTAGTGCAGGGGCAGCATTCTGAAATCAGTATACAACACAATTGTAATAAATGCGTGTTAAAGTGGCTCGAACTAATAATACAGAAATGGGTGCGGGAGCTCACTTTAGTTGACACTTCTTTCGGTTTGACCTGTCGAAGTTCATCTTGTGCTGGGGGAGTCTTAGGAGGTGCTTTGGATAAGGCGATGGCTTTCAAATCATCTGTAATCTTTTTGGTGTCATCGTGCGATTTGGCTGTGGGCAAGGGTGGGACGACCGGATAAACGGACCGTGTTGGCGATCGGGAAGGCTTTTGGGGCATTCCGATGGTAATCTCGTGTGGTTTATGGTCGTCTTCGACTAAAATTGTGTGGTTAAAAGGAGAGCGAGAGGAAATGCACGCACCTTCGTCACACTCGGGAAGATCACCCAGGAGATGGGGATCAAAACCGATGTACTTCGGTCGTTGTGCTTCCTCTATCGCGTTGACAGCATTGATAATTTTGTCTGCATTTTTATTCTTATCTTCAAAAGTGATACCCAGATTATCAATCATTTTTCGAAACTCTTCGTTGATCCCCTGAAACGTTCCGGTTGCGGGATCGAAGGTGATATTGATGTGTTTCTGCACATTTGTAGGCAGAGAAATCTCCATAACCTTCTCCGATTTGCGATTTTTCGAAGTTTTCCTCCCCATGATTACTGGTAAAAGGGCTGCAAAACAGGGGGAATAGTTTGAGTTAAGATATTAGAGCTTAAAGAAGCCAGCGATTGCGCGACAAAAGCTATGAGCAGTCTCTTACTAACCAAATACTATTGTGCATGATCAATCAAAAGCATATAACTGAATCCAATCTCCCATGAAATTTATGCTACTAGTTGCACCATTTGCCGTGAATCAGATCGTTATATGCATAGCAAACTGCAGGCAACTCATCTACATTCGGATTGTTCGATCCATGTCATTCTCATTCACCTATGACAATTTCAAAATGGAATAAAACCGAAAAATGGTCGACATTCACGCTGCACATGGGATTTATAGTGAATAAGACCGAGAACATGCTCACCACCAGCACATCAATCTATTTTTCTCTCTTTTTTGCAGCTAAAAGAACGGGTGCAGTGTTACTCGTTGAAGTGTATACCTCTATCGTTTCGGAACTTGGAGCTTCCGTGTCGAATAAGCTCGGTCGTTATCAGCATCCGATCCTCGCTGTGTTCGTTGCACTATGCGCGTCTGATGGCACCATACAGTGAGAAATGACAGGATTCAACAATATGTACTAGGCAGTGAGCAGTGTCTCTAACCGGAATGATAAAAAATTAAACCGCCAGAGATGGTTTGAACATCACTATGACCATCAACACCATCGTGCAGCGAGACACAGTGAAGCGAGCTTCACTGATCGCTGCCCAGCTCAAAATATACACAAATCAAGTGACAAAGTACATGATGCTGTGAAGTAAGCTAGTAATCGAGTCGATCAGAGAATCACCGCCCACCTTGAAAAGAATAGGGCGAAACCCATCCGATCCCGCAGCCTTCCTTTTCTTTAATGGTTAAATGCAGCTTCGTACTTCCAATTTTGATGGGGGCTCACATGTTAATACTCATGGAGTTTCCGCCGCAATTGCTGGAATGACCACATTAGCACTAGGCCAATTGAACTGTTCACTAAAATACTCCGTCCAACGATCAAGTTGCTGTTCTTTATTGTGGATACTCTGTCCACTTTTATCACAAATGGTCTCGCTGACCGGTATGCGACGACCTCCGGTGTTGCGTAAGAGCTGAAATAGTATTTGACTATTTCCTGATGCACAAACTACTTCCATTTGACTAGCATACCAGTTTTCGCGATCTTTCTTTTCATGAGTTCGCGTTGCAGATGCCCCTTTGCTGATCCTGGCAAATTGGGATCTTTCGGTTTTGATCCATTAGGAATACTGACTCCCGAGAGATCCAACGTCTTCGGCGAACTTCATGCTCGATCACACAAGCAAATTTTGCCGTTGAGTGCATCCCAAATCTAAGTTGATCCCATTGCTGGTCTACTTCACTATGTCACGGTTCTCCTGGCTCCTGTCCCAGCTTCTCCTCATAACGTGCGCAGACAGATGAATCGTGCAGACGATGATGAGCTAACTGAGGCGATTTCCGCCGATGACCGATGAATCGAAGAGTGGAGCATAACAAGCACTACTGTTAGAAATCTACAAGGCGATACTGGTCGAGGATAATTGTTCATTGAGGAGTTCAGATGGGACACCAATTTCGCATACATAACTCAAAAATCTAATCAGAAACATACCATCGCCGTTCCTGGTCACGCAATTTCAAAGGTGAATTCGTCGAGTATATAGCAAATAAAGCGTGAACTGAAAAGCTAGGAAGCACTGGGCAGCTGTTTCGACCTGATTGGTTCTCGTCAACAGTGCAAATCCATCAACCCAACTGGGGATCGAACCAGGGACCTCACAGGCAGAACGCAAGCGTGCTACTCCCTGGGCTACCGGGCAGCTGATCAGACCGTTTTTCATTGTCCATTTACACGATATAGCAAAACCCATCTTTGCCAGCTTTTTGCGGGCAACGGACCCTGCTCATCTCAGCAACAGCCTCCAGGGTTATGACTCGGCTGGAAACATTCACAACCTGACTATTTATTTTAAGTGAGTAATGAAGGATTCGATTCAATCTCAATTTGTGGATTCGGACGTCTGTGAAAATATAACATTTATACGTATTGAATGGGCAGCTGGAGAGAAAGCTGTGCGATGTAGAGTACGCTGATGACATCGTGTCCGTTCGAATCTATGGACGATGTACAAAGCGCACTTGATAGACTAGCTATTACCACATTTATGTGCTTAGCACCTTCAAAGTGCCAAGTGAAACTGCAACACTTGGCGTCACCGAGTTTTGTTCTGAAACAAGACGGTCAGGAATTTGCTGAAGAGGACTGCTTCTCGTACTTGCATGACCGAAGGCGGTAGCGCACCAAAGAATATAACTACCTGCACTTCCAAAGCTCGAACAACGTACGCTAGACTTAAACACCTGTGGCGGCGACGTGACGTGAAGTTGAAAAGTTGCGTGTGCTGCGCCACTGTACGATCAATTCTGCTGTGCAGTTGTGAGACCTTGAACTTGCGGGTAGCAGACATCCGTCGTTTAGCAGTTTGACAATCGATGCTTACGTAATGTGGCCCAAGTGGGATGGAGTGAAAGGGTTAGTAGCTTAGAAGTAAGTCGTCGGGTGTTTGGAAATACATCAAACAAGAACTCGCAATCGCATCGAATCCAGCTCAATAGGTTCCGTTGGTTAGGACACATTTTGTGTATGTCCGACGGCCGTCTACGGCAACGCGCACTATTCGCAGTGGCTGTTGCAGGCTGGAGAAAGCCACGTGAAGGTCAGCAGATGACGTGGAGACGAGGCATATATATTCACACACATCTGAATCCAGACTGTGCCAAACAAATCATGGTACATTAATCTTTATAAAAAAGAAAAATTGTTCCATGATTGACATGTGGACAGAATACTGCCAAGTTGCCCAGGCCAAGGCAGGTTAATTTTCTTGGGGAATCCACAGCCGAAGCCTTTGGCTAGCGAAAGCCTGACCAGCAAGGCAGCGGGGCGATGTGCGAAAACTGCAATCCACTGGGGGCCGGTGTCCATCAATCTGTCGACTTCTATATGGTTTCCTCCAGCTTGGAGCAGCTCCAGTGAATAAGGTGCGACAGACGACAGATGGGCATAAGCAATACGTGTCCTAGTCAGCGAGGCCTACGAATCTTTTTATGACACACATTGGTGTTGAACAGCAGTTGGGACAAACCCCATATTAACGATGAACTGCTGTTCAGCGATGAAAGCCGGCAACGTAATCCCCGGGACTTGGAGTGGCGAACCACATGAGGCCCCGCTAGGTTAGGCGTGATAGTGAACCGCACGACAGCAAAGCTGCCTATCAAGAAAGTTAGGTGGTGAAGGCAGGGCTCGAACCTCGGTCCAAAGCACGCCGATTATCACCATCATCATCATTGTACAGCATAATACAGTGAAGCGGACTTCAATGATCGCTGCCAAACTCATATTGCACAAAAAGTAAGCGATAATGTGTAAGGAAGGCAGGGATTGGACCCACTTTTAGGAAAAGCAAGCGAAACTCTACGATCAACACACAGAGTAAACAGTTCAACTGTGCATACATACTATTTCAAGCATTCTGGTTTAATAAGAAGTGACAGCATGATCGCCATTGCCGTCGGTTAGCAGCCATAACCTTTAGTGTCTCCAACCATGCGGTTTCGGAGTCTTTTGAACCCCATCCCGGAAGACGAGACACCTACTCCACCTAACCGCTATGTGCATTTCTTCATGCCTCGTCTCCACGTCATCTGCTGACCTTCACGTGGCTTTCTCCAGCCTGCAACAGCCACTGCGAATAGTGCGCGTTGCCGTAGACGGCCGTCGGACATACACAAAATGTGTCCTAACCAACGGAACCTATTGAGCTGGATTCGATGCGATTGCGAGTTCTTGTTTGATGTATTTCCAAACACCCGACGACTTACTTCTAAGCTACTAACCCTTTCACTCCATCCCACTTGGGCCACATTACGTAAGCATCGATTGTCAAACTGCTAAACGACGGATGTCTGCTACCCGCAAGTTCAAGGTCTCACAACTGCACAGCAGAATTGATCGTACAGTGGCGCAGCACACGCAACTTTTCAACTTCACGTCACGTCGCCGCCACAGGTGGCAGCGACTAAACCACTGCGCCACCAACACCCTGAATTCAATGAAATAGCAAGTTCGTCCCTGATAGACTCCCGCACACCCAACAACCATCTCCAGATTAGATACTGGTTCGCTTCATCCCGCGTGCGCTAAACTACGTAAACACCAATAGTCGAAAACTGCTGGTCGATGGAAGTCTACTCTCGAATTCAAGGTCTCACACCTACTGAGCAGAACTGAACGAACGATAGCCCAATATACACGACCATTTAACTTTAGTGAAAGTCGCGTCTACGCCAAAGGTGTTCCAGTCCCGGGTACGCTGCTTGACCCTTGAAAACGCGGATGGTTATTTCCTTTGCTGCATTAACGTCATTGGTCACGCAACTACCTAAGCAGCAAAAGTAATCCATTATTACTAATTACTGTCCATTTAGTTTCAAAGTGAAAGTAGTTGACACTACTGCGACATCACTTTGTACTTTGAAGGTGATAAGCACATAACTAATGTGATAACAGCTATTCTATCAAGTGCGCTTTATACGTCATCCATAGATTCGAACAGACAGATGATGTTATCAGCGCACTCTACATTGCACAGCTTTCTCTCCAATTGCCCATTCAATACCTACATTTTGGAAACCACTTAGTAGCCTGGTAATAAGTATACGACAAAACAGATAGCAGAATTTTAGACCTCGTCAAACATTGAAGGCCCCCAGACTCAGTATTTGACGAGGTCTAAAATTCTACAATCTATTTTGTGGTATACTAATTACCGCCCAACTTGGCGACAAACTTTGGCAAATGACGAACAAGTTTTCTGAGGGAATGTTACGAGTTGGAAGAAGGGTAAAAGGGAGAGGGTTGGGGACGGAAGACAGAGTTAAACAAGGGTTGGGATATCTGAGCAGTAGCCCAAGTATCACTACCCACCCCG